GATGAATGAAAAAAAAAGTTGAACTGTGACTGTCTAAAGCTAGGTGGTGTGATGCTGAGGTTTTGCATGGGAAAAGTTAATTCTAAAGGGTGAGTTGCACTTTCAGTGCACTGAAGTTTCACTTTATAGCAAAATCATGCTGTTTCTGAAGCAGGTTGCTAAGTGTAAATATCACTGAGTTGGTATATGTTTATTTTTGAAAAAGCACTTGCGTAATTATAGAGCCATTTAATTTGCAAAATTGTAAATTTGTATAAATGTAATGTAAGAAAAGTTGTATGTTTCCTGTTACACCACGTTGTCTGTGTTCTGCTGCATTCTCTACTTACCCACCTGAGCCCCTTGGCCAGCTCGTGAAAAGGTTGTGAATTTGAAGGCAGTGTTTGTAGTTCACTGTGCTCAGACACGGGCAGCCAACCTGGCTGCTTCCCATTGTCTTGTTGAATCCGAAAGGGACTTAATCTTCAGATGTAACGAGCTTGTACTAACTCTCCCTTCTCTCATAACGGTCAAACCCATGTTGCCGGGCTTTGAACGAGTTGCAAGAAATACCAGTAACTAAACGTAAGGCTAATAAAACCTCCTGGAGTATTTCTCATCTAACACAGCTTTTCCCAGTCCATCATTCACATAAGAACTTTAGTTTGGATCAGGTTCATCTCTTTACAGTATTTGGTGCATAGGACATCGTTTGAATGTAAAAGCTGTTTTTGAACAATGAGGTACTTTGTGGTGGGTTAACCCCCATGTTCATACCCCGGTATGAATATTTTAGCAATAGCCAGACAAGAATTTCAGCATGTTCTATTGCAAAAGTCAATTCTTTGAACTGTCATTTGTACTGTTGAGAAAGCGTTGGTTAATATCGCTTGTGCTTTTAGCCAGACATGGAAAAATTTGCATCTCATCTTTCTGTTTAAGGTAGAATTTGTCACAGCTAGTATACAAACTCTCTTCAAAACAGGCACAGGAGCAGCTCAGCCTACATTTTATTAATGATTAGCATGAGTGAAAATTACCATACGAAGCCTTGCTCCAATACGGCAGAATTTTCTCTCCTGGTATTTCCTCCTTTGTTCTCAAATTACTGAGGTTTTAAAAAACGTGAGTTTTCTTGTAAGAGATCTGTACAGCAGCAGGGCAATGTTTCACATAGTATACAAGGATTCCTAAGGAACCAGTATTATGCAGTAGACGTTTATATTAAACCCATCCAATAACTAAATACTGCATACCATTTACAGCTTGAATAAATATTTTTTGTTTTAATACAAACTTGTGTGTCTTGCTTAACATTTTGTAAGTCCATTAAGCAGCTTTGTGGATATTGTATAGAAAAGTCATATTGATCGGTCATTTTTTTTAAGACAAAAAATTCAGTACGAAACACCAAGTTCTAATAGCAGCAATTGTCAGAATGACAAAAACAATTGTCTCTGCTACATGGTGGCATTTTCTGCTTACCAGTATTCTGAGAGTTGTCATGTGATACTTTTAAATCGATTTGCTATTTAGTTGAGACATAGTGTAGCTCTTTCATGGAACAGCCACTATCCACCACAGTCGTCTTTTTCAATTCAGGTGATCAGGTAATACTAAAGATGTGAATTACCGGTTCACTTACTTACGCTTTCAAAGGAAGAAGCATCTGCTGTCACATGGCAAATAATTTTTAGAAGAACAGGTGTCAGACCATGAACTAAGGTTAATTTTCTTTGTATATAGCATTTAAACCCCAGGGTCATTTGCTACTTCTGCAAGTACCTTCTTTCCCAAAAGAAACAGATCCCACTACATCCCAGCCAGAGTACATATTCCCCCTGCTTTATGGAGGAAAGTTTAAAGACCATCAGTGGGTAAAGATGACTTCCTGTTGACATTAATGTCAGAGTAAGAAAAGCCGTTGTCCTAAATCACAGAATCACTGAATGGTCAGGGTTGGAAGGGACTTCTGGAGATCATCTAGTCCAACCCCCCCCGCCAGAGCAGGGTCACCTACAACAGGTTGCACAGGACGGCGTCCAGGCGGGTTTTGAATGTCTCCAGAGCGGGAGACTCCACAACCTCTCTGGGCAGCCTGTGCCAGTGCTCCACTACCCTCCTTTGCATTTGACCTGGCTTCAAGGTGCACAACAGCAGAAAACCAACCTTTGAGTAAAGTTATTTTTTCCATGGAAATCACTTAGTAGTTAGGAAAATTAAGCAACAAAACTGTAAGAAACTAGCTGCTTCTAGTAGCAGCGCTATGTGAGTTACCAAGAGAATTCATTTGCAATGGCATTTGAGAAAACACGTCAGTGACAGAGGAGCCCAGTTAACAAACGTTCTTTATTGTCAGGTCTCAAGACGTTATCATAATTCGACATTTTTTATGTGTACTGTATAAAAACTTGCACTGAGTCAGAGTAATAAAAGCCCAGTTGTATGTATCAATAATCAATGATGTTTTAAGAAATTTTAGAGTAGCAGTTAAAGAATTCATTCACTTATGGATAAATAAGATGTAACAGGTACCACTCATTGTTTTGATCAGAGAGTGTTTAAGGCTTTGTTTCCAACGCTACTTGGGCCTACAGTTTCTCTATCAGTATCGCAGAAGCACCTCCTCCTCCATTGCAAATTCCTGCAAGACCAAACTGTCCTTGTTTCAGCGCATGGGCCATGTGAACAACAATTCTTGCTCCCGACATTCTAAAGAAAAGAAAAAAAATGTATATAGCTTAGTTTAAAGGTAATTCTTAATTAGACCCACACAGTTGGTAGAATATAGCACTGATTCACTGGAGGGGAAAAAAAAACACCAATAAAAAGAGCAAACAAACCCTTTCATCTACATTTAGATGCAATACAGGTTATTTTTCTCTAGCTACAGTACTTAACAAACAGAAAGATTCTTACACAAAAAAAAAAAACCCTATGTTTATCTAAAGGTTCTTCTGGAAAAGGAAATCACTTCTAAGTCAGTCTGTATATTACAAAGTACCCCTACGTGTAGCAAAGCTCTTTCAAAGAAGGTAACAAATCTACCACAAAAAACCAAATTGATAGTAATGATTAATTTCAAACAGTTTCATATTTGCTTACAACTTGATATACTGCAGTATGCACTACTTTGAGCCATCTAACCTGCAAAGTCAGACATTTAAATTCTGTCATTAGGTTGTCAAAATTAACTGTTCAGACAAAAAAAAAAAAATAAAATCAGATTCCCTTATCAGAAGCAGCTGATACTGTGAAGGAGATGTCAGCATGTCTTGCGGGATTATGCCTTGATTACAGCTTTTTATGAACCACAAAGTACTCCTACTTGTTCCTGACATACAACATGGTTACTTCACATCTGTATTTACTTAGAGGTTTTGAAATGGGCTTTTCCTCATAGACCTGGACACTGCGGCATGATCACCCTTAGGGAGGATTAACAGGATATACTTAAGTCATGAGGAAGTTACAGCAGTTGGGGAACACAAGCAGGTGACCTGACTCCTCCCACCCAATGACAGAACTTCAAACAAAAGACCCACCAACATCCCCCAGACTGTCCCCATCTGCTGTATTAGGAGCTTGGAGACTTGGATTCATGGCCAAAAATGCTTTGACAAGACCTGAAATTTCACTTTGCTCATGTAAGAAAAATAAAATCCCCTGTACCATATCCTTTGCTACTTTCATAAGTTTACCTGTAAATTTTATTAGCTTAACTACTTGATTAATTATTATTCTTTATTCTGTCATATTAATAGTGATTTTGTTTTAATACTTCATAAATCCATATAGCTATGGTGACAAGCAAGCTCTCTGTAGAAGTAGGTGATAACTAATAGTGAAGAGAAAAATGGGATCGTGCTCTTTTCAAGGTACCCTGAAATTTAACGCCTGAATTAAGTCACTATGTACTTGATAGCAAATTTCTATTACCCTTCCTACTTGCATTAAATTTGGAAAGAAAGGAAAATGTTTCATCAGTGTGTCTAGAAAACAATGCCTCTGTATGGAACAAAACCCAGTGCTTATTTTACTTACCCGATGGGATGTCCAAGAGAGACGGCACCTCCATTAATGTTTACTTTCTGTGGATCGATACCCAGCATTTTGATATTGGCCAGCACCACGACACTGAATGCTTCGTTGATTTCCCACATTGCAATATCTTCTTTTTTCAGGCCTGTCTGACTTAGAATCTAGAAATAATAATAAAAATAATCACTATTCTGAAAAAATTAGGAAGCTAATTACAGAAATCATTAGGTCTATTTTGAGGTGGGTGACTCAGGCTGCCCATAGTCTGATTCACGTTCACGTTTTGGAACCTCTTTGTCAGATGGGAAAAAGCAAAATTGAGGTACTGAAGCAGAAACCTGAGTTTTCACAAAAGAAGAAGTGGAGAGTACCCTGTGCCAAGAATACGTTTTCATCACACTTGCACTAAGATGGGTGCTGCAGTAAGTACATGTAAACTGATGGAGTATTGCCTTGTGCCATACACTTGTCTTCAGTTGCTTTTTGAACTAGTCTATACTTGTATAACCACATTTATTTTGCCTTTTAGCCATACTAGATGCAAAGCTTCTGAAGTTGTTGAAAGCAGAGTAAACACTCTTTTTCAAAATGGGCATGAGAAATTTGTTACTCTGAAAATCTGCATTCTAGCCTCGATCCTCTGAAAAATGTGTTCTTTGTATTTATGACACAACTATCATTTCGGTCCTAATTACAGGAAGATCCACTGAGGGATGAACCAATGATCCAGTGCTAGGGAAGTTTGTTGTTTTACAAAAAACAGTTGGTTTTATTCCTACCTTGGGAACAGCATGTGCAGGTGCAATTGGGAAGTCAATGGGATCAACAGCAGCATCTGCAAAAGCTAAAAATCACAAAAGCTGTTTGAAGACCTTTATTTTTTACCATACGGGATTTTTATTTGTGCAAGCAGCAAACCCAGCCAAGATAGAAAAATTCTGAACAGAATGGTCTGTGAAATAGATGATACATCTAAAGTTTAGTGCCTTAAGTGAGTCACATAACAACATTTTCAGGTTTTTAATATCATTCCATATAGAAAACTCTGCTTATGATCAAAAGCCTGCTGGTACCACACTTGACATTTCAAGGACTGTATTGAGAAGATGCAGCCATGATGCCTAAGGGCTCACCTCTTCTGTCCCATGAATGTCAGATAACCAGCCAAACAGGACTCCCAGTCTGAGAGCATACTGAGGGAGTATTCTCCAGGACTGTACTGAAAGATAAGGAAAGAAAAATCTTACCTACTATCCGTGCCAGTGGTTTCACTTTCAGTCTCTTGGCTGCCTCTGTAGTCATCAGCACCACAGCCGCTGCTCCATCGTTCAGCGTACTGGCATTCGCAGCTGTAACTGTTCCTACAAAAGGTAAAACATTGTTTAAACAGAGAGGAAAGTGTGATCTAGCTCAGGTATATCCCATTAATGATTTTTTTTTTTTTTTACCTTAGGCCCTTGGACATAAGGTCTTAACCACATGGTGATATCTGTTGCACTGAGTTAACCAAAAATGAGTTGGTTTTTTGAAATCGGTGTGATTAAACAAGTACAGTCACACGTATTCGTATCTTTATCCAAGTGGTGGTTTAGACCACACCTTCCCCATCAGCTGCACTGCTGGCAGTAACACAGAATCCCAGCGCAAAAAGGGTTGTGAATAAGTGGCAACTTTGAGTTAGCCAGAAAGACTTGTCAAGTACAGATTCAGGGAAGTAAGAGGGAACTATGTAAGGGCACTCCAGCTCCCACTGAAACGAGAACTTCTACTGGGCAGAGACCAAGGCAATAGCTAAATTGAAACCAATTTGTTTCATTCTTTTTAAAGTAAACATCCAAACCAGAGGTTTGCACGGTTTAAGGTTCTTGGACCATCTTTTAATTCAAGCCAGTTCATGCTG